GGCCAAGGTGTCGCTGGGAGTGTTGGTCAACCTCCTTCCCCAGTTGGGGGTCATGGTGATAATGGAGTTGTCACTGATGGAAGCTCTGTGAGCGGTGGAAGTCACTTGCCGGGTTCTGCTCCTACGGGTGGCAAACCTTCACTTCCCGGTGTTGGTGAGTGTGTGGGTTTAAATGAATCTAAGGATGCCTTAACTCTTGCAAAAGAGGGGCATGAAGTCGTACGGGATCAGCATGAATTAGTGCCTCAAGTTTCGCACCACACTGATGCGGGAACAGGAGGGAAAAGCGATCTCAGTGCGCCAGAACAGTCGCCCAACGCAAAAAAAAAATTAGAAAATGGTGGTGGTGTTTGTGGTGATGATGCTGCAACTGCGGAGGGTGAAGTAATAACCACCGTGAATGAAGGACAATTGGGCGTATCTTCCACGAGCGACAGCCATCCACCAGCAGCAGACCGAGGGGCGAAGGAGCAGGAAGGCACAGTGGAACAGGCAGCATCAACAGTGGCACTGACGCCAGTGGTGGGGCGAGAAACACCACCTAAAGGGGACACAGAAGAGGACTCACCGGAGGATAAAGCCGCAACTGGCGCAGGTATCACAAAAGATATACCAGCTGTCAGTCAACAACAAACACATTTTTCATCCACTTCTACAACTGGAAATGGTCCGACTTCTACTCTAGGAAAAGGGCGCGCTGCGGAGGACATTTCCAACAATAACGAACGATCCGGCAAAGCACTACTGCGAGAAGGAGCGGAACATGAAACTGTTGCTGGCAGCCAATCGCAAGCAATACCAGCAGCCACCGCCCGTAACACACTTGGCACAACCGTTTCTGGCGGCAGCGACAACAGCACCACGATAACTACAGCCGTGCGGTCTGACACTGGCACAGAAGGCACTCCAACCAGCAATCATCCGAACCGACAATCCATTGAAGGCGCCACGTCACCCGGCACGAATTCCGATGGTGAAGCTGCATCAGCCAAAAAATATGATACGGTACCTCAGGGTGCAGGATCCACAACAGCGCCAACCACAAACAACAAAACAAATGACACAGCTTCTCATGGCGACAGTGACAGCAGCACCGCGGTCTCCCACACCACCTCCCCTCTTTTGCTTCTTGTTGTTGTTGCGTGTGCGGCGGCTGCGGTGGCGGCCGCGTGAGAGTGAGGGAGAGAGAGCCGTGCACCGCCCGCACACACACTCTTCCTTCTCTCTGTGTGTGTCCCCTTGCATGGGCTCTTGCCCTCACCTCACCCCACGAAGCACACACAATAATGTGCCCATTGTATATATGCATGCACACCCATGCAGGCCCGTTGGTGCTCTCTTTTGCACGACACGCACCGCTGCCGTCCTGCCTGGCTGCATGGGCGGAGCACCGTAACTGTTTCCGTTTTGTTTCCATTGCATTGAGTGGGCGACCTCTCTCTCCCTCCCTCTGTGTGTGTGTTTTGCTTTACGGGAGTAATGAGAGTGTGTGTGCGCTGGTCGTCCCACGCTTCGGCATTTCTTCTTTTTCTTTTTGTTTTTTGAATCTTTGCGTGTGTTGTGGTTGGGTGCACCCATTTTAATTCCATTGATTGGTTTTCTTCCTAAAGTGCGGATGGCTGAATATTTCCTTTTTGTATTCCCCTGTTCTTTGTTTCTTCCCACGCAATCGGTCCTTGTTGCTTCAGCGAGCCACGAAATATTTGCCTAACACCCACATCAATGGCTTACTTGCTCTACACCCCACATTAGTTTGAGACGCTGGTGCTGCTGCATGTGATGATGTTTATGGTGTGATTGCCAGCGGGTGCTTTGCTGTCACTTTGACTTACCCTCGACTTGTTGAATATGTTATGCGTGCCGACAGCACGAATTGGATCCGCGTTGTTGTGAGGGACGCACCCTTTTTGAGCGGTGAGTGCGCTGCGGCCATACACCGTCATTGGGAGAGAGGGATGCCCATCCGCATCAACGTATCCACAAGGGACCTGGATGATACCGGGAAGCATTGCATCTCAGAGAGGTACCACGCAATGAATTCATTGAATGGCAATTGCGAGTGTGAAGGTGACGTTGTATCCTCTGCGCACGGGATCATTCTCGAGAATGAAGTTGTCCCTGCTGCCTTCAAACTGCATGCGGATCGTCTGCTCGTGCAGCCACTGGAGGGTCCTTTGATTGTACCCCCATTTGCCACGGGCAGCGTCTGCATTCGGTTCACGGTGCGTGCTGGGCATTGTTCCACTGGTGTTGCCAATGCTGACATGGTGCTCTCCGTGGCAGAGCGCTGTCGGTGGTGGTGCACTCGACGACTGCCGTGGTGGCTGCGAGGAAGCCCCGCGACAGCGACGACATTGATGGCATGGAGCTGCAGGATGGCGATGGTGACGGGAGGACGCTGGAGTCGCACTGGTCTCAGCGCCACGCGAAGGATGAGTGGATGTCACCGATTGGTTGTGCCGGCTGCTGCACGGAGCTGACGCTGGCCGCACTGGCTGACCCGGGCTGCATGAGCGTGAAGTGGGAGATGGCGGAGCCGATGCGCTGGTGAAGGAATTCGTGCTGTGCGCTGCTGCAGAGGAAGTGCTCCGCACCAAACACGAGTGAATATCCCCAGATGTTCTGCGAAGCGGGCGTTCATGCCAGTCGCTGCACGTTGGATCGGTATTCCAGTGGTTGGTGTGCAGACGAATTATCCATGAAGAGTCAGCAAGACGCTCGATGGACAGTTGCCCCATCACTGGTCCCGCACTGGATGTGAGAAATGCTGCCGCTGTTATTTGGAGGGGAGAATATTTGTCTGCGGTGCCTGGGGACAAGCCCGCTTCGTGGTGTCTGGACACGCTTCCCACCAACACGACGGATGCGAGGGACCCGAAGGAGACACATCTCAGTGCTGCAATGCATGCGGCATTGCGGTGCCTCGGCATGCGGGTGCGTCTGAGAGTGACTGAAGAGGGTAACGCCCGTTGTGCCCCATTCACGGCCGAGGCGACGATTACGTGGGTTGCTCCGCCCTACGACGAGGGAAAAGCTATTTGCCGTGACCACGCGCAGGTGTGCACGATATCCGCCACCAGCGGCAGCCTACTTCCCGTGGTTTCGTGGGGTGGCGAGGAGAGAGTGTGTGGAGCTGGACGGTTTCACCGGCATCTACTGAACAAGCTTTGCTACGGGCATCCGTCCCCGGTCCAGAGAGCATTGGGACCGGCCGTGGCACACCACCGAAGGATGTGGACACGGCTGCTCCCCAGAAGCATCCGTCGCCAGAGGAGAGGGAATTCGCCTCAGGTGCCACGACGGCAACGGTGTGCTCTTGCCCAGCGACACCGCGGGTGCGCCGCAGGAGGCGGAGAAGAAGCGCGATCTTCCGGACATCGACTATGTGACCGCCGATGGTGTGACGTCTGTTGTGGGAGAATCATTAGGAGATGAGGCCGCCTGCGACAAGGACGGTGGCGGTGCCACAGCCACGGGACCCAGGAGCCCTGATGCCGCTGATGACGCGCAGGGCGCCGTGGACCCTCCGCCGAGGAAGGATGATGCGGCGATGGTGTGCGGGGTTGGGAGGCCGACATGAAGGACGCCCCGCCTCCGATCCACGGCAACAACAGTGCGGCGGCTGCTTGTCCCTTTCCGGTGCTTCTTCTGCTTGCCGCTGCCGCCGCGGTGCCAACACTCAGCAGTGGGTGCAAGAGAGAAAGGCCTATATCAACTGGCATGTTCCTATCAGTATATACATACACTCTTCTTGTCTGTATACTTTGTACCAGGGACATGCTGTATGCACTCTCCCTCTTTTGTTGGTTGCTAATGTGGCGGCACCACGCGTGTATTATGGGTTGGGATAAGAAATTGTTTGACTTCTTCTGGAGAATACTGTGGGGTGTTTGTGTGCGTGTGCGAGGGATCTGTGTGGTTTGATTTCCCTATTTTTATTTACCTGCTTTGGCATTGTGTAATGATACTTCCCTTCTTCATTATGTGTGTTCTGAAGTGTTGCTAGGGCACCGGGAGTGGACGCCTGTGGACGCACGCCGTGCATTATGCGCTACATTGGTGGGAGGGGAGACTGACATAACTGGCGGGATTCAGTACGGCGCTTTTCTGCCCACGGACCCTGCGGCCGCAGCAGCCTGAGTGGCGCTTTGCATATGGACATGTGGATTGTTTCTCTCTTGTGAGGCCTTTTTTACTGCGTGTCATTTTCCGCTCGGGTACCGTGCCCGTGGCAGCAGCGGCGGCATCAAAAGGGCTGTGTGTGTGGAGAGTCCTTGATTGAGTGCCTGTCTTACTTCTCTTTTCTGTTGATCGATTGTACCGTGTGTCGGCCAAACGGTTGACATGACGTTCTTCTGACGGCGGGGTCCACGTGACATGATGTTGCGTCGCGTGCTTTGTTGCGGGTGTGTGATTTCCGCAACGGTTTTTGGGCGGTTGCCTGTTGGGTCGTTGAGGGCGGCGCGGCGACGGGTGTGGATGGACCCGATTGAGTGCCGTGGCTGTTCGTGCAGGGGAGCCGCGGGAAGGAGGAAGGCAGCGGAGCGATGGACTCACGAGGAGTGCGGTAGCGTGCAGCCATGAAGATTGGCGACAGGGAACTCACTGCCGCTGTGAGTTGCCGTGTGTGGTGTTTGTTTCTGTTATTATTAATTTGCGCTGTTGGATGTGGCCGCTGTGGGGGAAGACTGTTTTTTGTTTCTTTTTCACGCCGTTTTGGGATCCTTTTCCGCACCGGCATCACTGTGTTCTTGCCGCACTGTTGCGCCCTCTTTCCCTTCCATTTTTGGGGCAGCTGCGGGTGGGTTTTACATGCCGTGGAGTTGTGTGCCGTGCTGTCCGGTGTTTCATTGTTGCCTGTTCTTCCTGCGTGCACGCGTCACCCATGCTCATGACAGCAACCCTCATGCAAACGCTACTCCTCCTTTTCCATGCTGCTGATGTGTGTGTGTTCTCATCCTCCTCTCTTTGTCCCTCCCTAGACTGTGTGTGCAGCCGTGATGATGATGACTGGCCGTGTGCTGCTGGTGTGTGCCCTCTGCGTGCTGTGGTGCGGTGCCTGCGGTGGTGAACCATCTGAACCACCTTCTCCAGCTCTTCCGGATACTGCGCCCGAAAAGAAGCCTCAAAAGAAAGAAGGAGAGGCCGTCGTTGGAGGAGTTGACCAAAGCAGTAAAGAGGTAGCGCCTAAAGAACCCACACCAAAGGCGCCAGAATTAAAGGAAGTGACAGAAAAATCATTACAGGAAAATGTACCCGGAGGAGGAGCATCAAAAGCGGCAAGTCCAACGACGGACAGCATGGTTCAAAATACAGAAGTTAAAAATGAGGAAGAGGAAGACGAAGAGGAGAATGATGAGGAAGAAGAATTGGAGGAAGGGGAAGAAGAAAAGGAAGACGGAGAGAACGAAGATGAAGAACACAAAGAGGATGATACGAAAGAAAAGGGGGATACAAAGAAAGAAGAAGCTGTTACCGGCATCGCAGAGGGGACGTCAGCAGGCGGTCAAGAGCAGCCAAGTTTATCTTTTGCTGCGGAGGGAGCATCGAATATAACAAATCCCAACAGCACACCAACAACTGGAGACGATGACCCAGCAGCTGATGGTGCAGGGACGGTAGAGGGAAAACAAAATGAAAATAAAGATGCCAATCCGAAAGAAACACCAGTCGAAGCCACAGCCATGAAAACTACAACGGCGACGACTGGCGAAAGTGACGGCAGCACCGCGGCCTCCCACACCACCTCCCCTCTTTTGCTTCTTCTCCTTGTTGCGTGTGCGGCTGCGGCTGCGGTGGTGGCCGCGTGAGAGTGAGTGTGAGAGAGCCGTGCACCGCCCGCACGCACACACTTCCTTCTCTCTCTCTCTCTGTCCCCTTGCATGGACTCTCGCCCTCACCTCACCCCACGAGGCACACACATAATGTGCCCATTGTATATATGCATGCACACCCATGCAGGCCCGTTGGTGCTCTCTTTTGCACGACACGCACCGCTGCCGTCCTGCCTGGCTGCATGGGCGGAGCACCGTAACTGTTTCTGTTTTGTTTTTATTGCATTGAGTGGGCGACCTCTCTCTCTCTCTCCCTGTGTGTGTGTTTTGCTTTACGGGAGCAATGAGAGTGTGTGTGCGCTGGTCGTCCCACGCTTCGGCTTTTTGTTTTTTTTTATTGTTTTAATTGTGTTGTGGTTGAGTGCACCCATTCCGCCGCTGCGTGTGTGTGTGTGATGATATGAGTAATTTGCGTGTGTGCTATCCGCTTCTCTGTTGTTGCCCTTTTTGGCTCTCTTGTGTTCCATACATCTGCTCTGCAAGTATAGGCGCTGACAAACACACAAACGCATGCACACGCTGTGGAGCGGCGTGAATGATGAGGACGCGCACACGCACAATATTTTGGCTGCGGCGGCCCTTTTGAGGGGGGATGACGGAAGACTGCGATTTTATTTTCTTGCCGTGCTGCGAGCGTGATTTTCTTGGCGTGCTGCCCGTGGGTGGCGCGGCATTGAGGGAGCCTGGGAGATATGCGCGTGGATTCACTCCCGGCAGCTGCACGTGCCGACGTGTTCCTCCCGCTGTGCGGGGCGATGTGCGATGGAGGGTGTGGGAAGAGACAACAGTAAAACGACTGGCGATGGCGCGTTGGTGTTGCGAAGGGCAGTTGTACCCTTCTGCATCTCGGTGATTGTTTTGTGTGTCGGCGTAGCTCGGATAGTGCTGACGCGTGGCAGAAGCGCCCGCCGTGGCTCCTGGTGGTGGCAACAGTCGCTGTGTGTTTCCGGTGCACTGTTCTTCCTTCTCGTTCCGTGTGTCTGTGTGCGTGAGTTGTCGTTATTGTTGGGAGTGAATGCGGTGCGGGTGGTGATGCCGCTCACTGTGGATGGGTGGCGGTGTGTTTCACTTCTTTTTCTGAACCACTCACACACAAGGGAAAGAAGTTAATACCAAGCGCTAAACGCTACTGTGGAATTGTAAGACTCTGAAAGGAACAACAGCACACACACCGCCCACACACACATATTTACATGCTCTCACGTGTTGCTGCAGTCAGGGCACCCCGCACACACAACCGTCGCCGCGTGACCGGATCCAGCGGAAGGAGGAGGGAAGGAGGAGAGAGTGAGTGGCGGATGCCCAACATGTCCCGGCATCTCTTCCTCTCTGCGGTGCCCCTTTTTCTTCTTCTTGCGATGTTGTGCTGCAAAAGTGTTGGGGCTGTGGCTGCTGCAGGATGAGAGTCACGTCAGGGCTCTTCATCGGGGAAATATTTTGTTTGGAGAGATGTGAAAGATGGAGAGAAGTGAGTCCTCTCCATGCTCCCAGTCTTGTTGAGATGGATGGTGAGGTGTTTGCCGTTGCCGAGGCGTGGTGCGAGAAGGATAGCGTTATTTTTCCTGCATTGCCTCACAATTCATGAAGTTGGACGACAAAAGCCCAAAAGCCCTGGAAGCAACTGAGGTGAGGACGGAAGTGCTGGAGGAATGTCCAACCGATGGAGGGAATTGCGCCTCCAAAACAGAGGATAAGGATGATTCCCAAGGCGGGACGAGAGTACATGTGAGCCGTCCAACAACAGTTGTGAGGGGAAATGATATTTACATGCTTGCTGGAGTCTGCATGAGTAAAGGTCTCTCTAATTGTCAGGTAGGTGTGGCTGGCGTGGCTCAGTGGGGACTTTTGCTGGTGAAAGGGAACGTCAGTGGTGTGGATGAAAGTACCAAAAGAATTTATTGGAATGATACCATCAGTATTTTGTGCAGTGTTATCGGTGAAAACGATGACACTTTGACAGGACACATTGGCGGTGGCGGATCGGGTGTTAAGATGGAGGACGGTACGCTTGTGTTCGCAACGGAAGCCGTGAAGGAGAATAAGGTTAATGGCACTGCGGAGGATAGAAGGAATAACAATGTTTCGCTGCTCATATCCTCCTCGGATGCTGCAAATTGGATGCTGTCGAAGGGGATGTCTGACGGTGGCTGCAGTGATCCCTCCGTGGTGGAGCGGGAGGAGAAGGACAAACTCGTGATGATGACTGCGTGTGGTGATGGCCGCCGCAGGGTGTACGAGTCCGGCGACAAGGGGAGGCCGTGGACGGAGGCACTCGGGACACTCTCGCGCGTGTGGGGCAGCAACCGTAAGCTACATGAGAAGGGCGTTGGGAGCGGGTTCATCACAGCGAAGATTGAGAGCAGGGACGTGATGCTTGTTGCTCTGCCGGCTTATTTCGAGAAGGGAGGCGCTCAAAAGGGTGAACTCCATCTTTGGCTGACGGACAATACGCACTTTGTTGATATGGGGCCGATATCCGGGAAGGACGATGACGCTGCAGCTAGCGCCCTGTTGTACAAAAGTGCTGGAAGTGGAACTGATGAGGAGAAGGAGGGGTTGGTTGCACTGTACGAGAAGAAGAAGGTCGGTGATGAAAAACCATCGCCCGGTATGGTCTCTGTGCGTCTGACTGAGCGGCTGCAGCGTGTGAAGGATGTGCTGGCGACCTGGAAGGAAGTGGACAAACGTGTCTCCCAGCTTTGCCCTTCTAAAAGAGCTCTGGAGGTTACCTCACCTGAAAGTGCCTGCAAAAACACTGAGACCACGGCTGGGCTGGTTGGCTTTTTGTCCGGCAACTTCTCTGAGAACACATGGAAGGACGAGTACCTCGGGGTGAACGCCACAGTGAATAATAAAGCTGGGGAAGCAGCGGCAACAGTGGCAACTGAGAATCCCGATGGTGTGACGTTCCGGGGTGCGTGGGCGGAGTGGCCCGTTGGCGAGCAGGGGGAGAATCAGCTGTACCACTTTGCGAACTACAACTTCACTCTTGTGGCGACGGTGTCCATCGATGGTGTGCCGACGAAGGAGGGTCCCATTCCTTTGATGGGTGCGAAGATGAATGGCGATGATAAGAATCCAGTACTCCTGGGACTGTCGTACGACAGCGGAAAGAAGACGGGGCAGAGCAGCGATTGGGAGACACAGAAAACACACCAATTGGCCATTGTGCTGCAGAACGGCACCCAGGGCTCTGCGTACGTCGATGGTGTGCGCGTGGAGGACGAAACGTGTAAATTGGAAAATACGGATTCGAAAGAGATCTCACACTTCTTCATTGGAGGAGATGGAGGCAACGCAGAGAACACAGAGAGCCAAGGAGGCGTGTCTGTGACTGTGTCGAATGTCCTGCTGTACAACCGCCCGTTGACATCCGAGGAGATTGCAGGGCTTGCCAAAAATACAATTACTATTCCGAAGCCGGAAGAACCGAAGACATCGACGACACCTCCTCGTTCACCAGAGGTAAGTGCACCAGATGTGGAGAGAACCGTGTCTCGAACCAATTCTGCCGGTCAACTGCCGTCGGAGCAGGAACAGCCGAAGGGGAGCAATGGTGCGGGTGCTGGCGGCGCATCCACACCAGCGACTTCTACCGCCGTGACTTCTTCAGGAAAGGAGCCCGTAAACCAGCAGATATCTGGAACCTCTCCCAGTGGAAACAAAAATGTGGATTTCTCTTCCTCGTCTGACGCCGACCCAGCGATGCTGACAGGGAGTGGAGAAACGGTTCAGGGAGATGGATCACCCCAAACTCCTGAGGCGACCGTGAGCTCTGGTGCGGATGGGGAGACGACGGGAGGAACGGATGGGCAGGGAGAGGAGGGAATCCATCCACAGAACGGGGACGTAAAGTCTGCGGCACTCAGCAGCAGTCTCGGAAATTTGTCGCAGGGGAATAACAGCGATGCGTGTACTGTAAGTGAGAGGAGGGCGCTGCCGCTGCTCCTTCTGCTGTTGGGACTGTGGGGGTTTGCGACTGCGTGAGGGATGACTGGCTGCCGCGTGGGACAATTGCGACCTCCCAGCAGAGAACTACTATTCCCATGGGAACAAATTTCACTCATAAATCTTTTTTTTTTGCCTATTTTAAAATCCTTTTACTGTTTGCTTCTTTTTGGTTGGTTTTACTTTTTTTTTTCTCATCCCCCATCCCTTCTCTTTTTTTGCTTTTGGGGCAGTCACTATGGACTTTTTTTTTCTTTTCTACTCTTCCCTCTTTTAATTGTTTCATGCTGCACTCTTCCTGCGAGGGGTGCCGTGTGTTTCCCGCCCAACTGCTCCACTCGCACACCCACCGACACGCTCATGACGACGGCCCTGTGCGCCTCGCCTGCTGCACGCATGAGGAGGGGCCGCGACGAACGGCGCGCTGAGGGAGCCGTGACGTGTGGGCGTGCGACGAGGGCCTGTGGGGCGGCGCACACATTTCTTCCCTCTTGTTTTGTTTTCTTTGCGGCCAGGGCGGGCAGACACCCGCAGCGCCACACACACACACAGCCACACCCTGCCGCCGTGTTTTTTTTTATTTTTGCTTTTGTTTAAATTTCTTGCGCCGGCAGTCCCTTCGGTGTCGGCCTCTTGAGCATTTCTCTCCCCTCCGATGATTTTTTTTCTTTTGCTGCGCTCACTCTCCCGATGGAATGACGCGACTGCCGTCGTGTCTGCGTGCTTCTCTCAGTCCCCACACACACGAGTGACTGTGCTCTGCGGGCCGCACTCACGCGCCGATGGGAGGGCTGAGGGGAGCAGCAACACGCAGATGACCCCATGAAATATAAACGATGCGCGGACACATGGAGGGTCGGACGGTTGAAAGACATTTAAATATCTTTTAATTTTATTTTCGGACAAAATGTGCGCAGACAGTTTGGTGTGGCCACACGGCAGCCGGCTGCTTTTTAAATTTGTGCGGAACAGTAATGGACGACTTCTTTTTATTTATAATTATTTTGTGTGATGGGGTTTGTATAAGA